AGTTGTTTGTTTTTTTTTTGCAGCAGTATCTAGCGACTAATAAATGAAACATTACAATACCCCATAAGAGCTTTGCTTGTCTGTTCCATTGAAGGAATATTTTCAATAGTTTCCACTACTTTTCCATCACATTGCTAAAGAACAAGGGCACTGAACAAATATATGTGGGATATCCTAACACGTAGGTTTCACCAGGTACACTATATAGCCCTTTAACAGCATAGCCAATGACAAAAAACATGCCAAAAATCACCCAGTGTGGCTGACCAGACTAAACTGGCTTTTCTAATGCACCTTTATTTTTGAACATCACTGGTCTGCAGACAATTTGTTTCACTAAGTTACACTGCTCTTTACAGTAATTTTAACATGCAGCTCATCGATGTGTGTACTTAGAGATAACAACACCAGGGACCTGCTCAAAACCCAATACCCATAAAGGAGCCACATATCTATGTACAGCCCACAAGTATGAGGAGGAGAGAGGAAGTTTTTACTGTTTTAAGGGTGTGACTAAAGAACACATGGTATGTTGTAGCAATTCTGAAATGACACTAGGCATTTATGTTTTCTCATCCAAGATCCACTCTATGATGCCTAAAAGCAGAAATAGAAGCTGTCTTTTAGGATGTTTAGGTCAAAATAGTTATAAGAAGAAGGATATGGGGGAGGGCAGAAGAGAAGAAAGGGAAAATTGAAGATGTAACTTGGGAAATAAACCATTTCTTTACTGTAAAAATATTAATTAAGAGAAACCCAAACCAACAAACCAGTCTTATTTTACCAGTCGTATGCTAGAATAATTAAATACTTCCTTTTAGAAAAAAGCTACATAAGAGTGTTAAAAGCCTGATCTAAATAACTCTTCCTATTGTTCAAAAATATCTCACACATGTGCATCGATTTTGTTACTGTACTTTACCCATCATGTACTTGGGAAACACAGCAAATTACATACACATAAAGCAGAAGCAATGGAGGACAGAAGACATGGTTTCTTGATTTTTTTTTTATATAATTTGCTGACTAAGAAAGGGTTTTCAGACGTTTCCTTACAATATGGAAGCAGGTACATGAAAAGACTGATCATACATTGATTTACATAATTGATACTCTATTAGTCTGCAATAGGCTGTTCTAGTATATTTGATAGAGAGAGAGGCTAATGGCAATATGCCAAGAGTATTTTTATGTCTTTTTATATCAGAGTTTGAGGATGTAGGAAGATTAGGGTGTCTAGTTGTTTGGGATTTTTTTAATTAAACTAATCAATCCCCAGGTCTCTTTCCTCTCCCTTGATCACTCCAGTTTATTAATATTCAGAATTGTGGTGAAAAACATACTGAAGGCAAATTTTAAATAATACTAACATCATCTCTCTCCCTTTCAAGTGCCAGAAGCAAAATTCCATCCAGTTTATCAGCATTTCCCTTTTATTATTTTCCTCCCTCCTGCTCAGTCACCTTTTAATGAGTTGAAGAAAAGGAGGGAAAGACATTGTCATCTTAAAACAAAGGCAGAGTCCATGCAGGAAAGCAAAGAGTTTTAATGTTGCCCATAAAATTTAACATGGAAGGCCAATGAAGCATGAAAAGCAGCATTTTATTCACTCTTCATACAGTCTAAGTCTCCCTTTCACTGCACTGGAAGGAAAAAAAAATTAAGCAATCTACAAGAACCAGAAACAAAGTATGGAAAGCCACAGTTTTGGTTCTAAATGCAAAGCAGGAAGTGCTATGTTCTAATCAAAACCCCCGTCCCAAGCTTATTTTGAAGCCAAATAAAGAAGTTCTATTTCAAGAAGTCTGATGAGTAACAACAAAAGAAGAACTTCGTTTTCAGTCAGAGTTCACCTTGAGCATAGAAGAAGTTCTATACATCAACGAGAAGATCACAACTCAAACAAAAGTTATCTACACTTTTCAAAACACAAACTGAAGGCACCCACAGAAATACCAACAACCTGCAGAGGACTCTTACCTACTTATTTTCCCTTTTCAAATTCCTCCTATAGTCTCTTACAGTTTCAAAAGATACAAAGAGAGAAAGAACAACCAAAAAACCCAACCCATTCCCACCCCCCTGCCCTCTCCCAAAAACTCCCACCCTACTTAAATGTTTCTGGCCCTCACCAAAAAGATTGTTTAGGGAATTTTTTTCTGGATTTCAGTGTTGCCGAAGCTTGAACTCAGAACAAATGGAGGAACACTTCAGACAGTGAAAAGCACTTACCAAGAGCCCTGTGAAGCAAGTAGTTTGAACTTAACTTCTCAAATATTTGAGAAAAATTAGGGGGGGAAAATAGGTATTTAATGTTTATAGTAAAGTGAACTCCAAGCCAAAGACAGAAGAGGTACTACTGCATTGAAGAGTTCTATGTAATATTGTGAGAAGATACGAAAAATAAAACTTTTCTATAAGAGAGGTTTGACAGTACACGTTAGATACCTCAGAGGCCTTAATGAGGTTTTTTTTGTCTTTATGAAACAACTTTGATTAAATATTATGAAGTAAACTAGTTAGTTCTATTACTAAAACACATTTTCAGTAGACATTTCACATTTTCTGTTAACTGTTCTTTCAAATAAAAAGCAAAGACAGCACACTGCAAAGAAAAGCACCAAAATAACTACACTCATCAAGAAAGTTATATCACCTTACCCTTCAGAAGAAAGCTGTGGGGCAGGGAAAGTAAACAGCTCTTTGAAAAAAATGCTAGAGACATATTAAGTCCAAACGACATTCCTATGTGTTTTCTGTTGGATTATAAGAAGTACTAACACTGACTCAAGCTGAAACCTTGCTGGGGTTATTATTTTTTCAGCATCTGTGTTTGTGGTTTGCTTCATACCATTTTCTTTTAAACTTCATTTTAAAATGGAAGCAGGAGTGCTGTGTCTGTGTGGGTGTTTTTATGGGTGCATGGTTAGGCAACATTCCCAAAAATCTGACTCTGACTGTAGTAAGTACATAGGTAGTGTTCCAGGGGAGGGAAAATTGCTCAGTGCAAGTTGTGGCAAGACAAACATGAACTTAAGAGGATATTTATATGAGGTTATATTTTACAAGTCATCCAGTAAGTGAAGATAATAAATACAATCCTTATCTACAATGGTTTGTTTATTTTGCTGTCCTTTAGACTAGGTCTTTCTTATAAGTAAAAAAGAAACCGATGCTAATGTAGTAATTGCTGAGAGTGTGGTAAAAGTGTGATTTAAATAGTTAGAGGGCGAAAGTTAGAGTAGAAACCGATGCTAATGTAGTAATTGCTGAGAGTGTGGTAAAATAGTTAAATGTGATTTAAATAGTTAGAGGGCAAAAGTTAGAGGAAGCATGACACACGTAGGTCTGCTCTTCTGTTTCCTCCCTTTTGTTTGGTAGTTCCTTTCACAAAGCTGTCTCTCTCTTCTTTGTGCCAGTATTCAGGATCTGTGCCTCTTCCATGCCTTCTGAGTTACTGGGCTGGCATTATCATCTCTGATAGACATGTAGTTGCTTTTTAATTCTGAATTTCCTTGGACAAGATCTTCTCACTGCTGCCAAGAAGCAGAGGCACCTACAAACCCTTGGAATGTGTCTTCTGAAGCACTAGCTATGCGATTACAGACCCCAATATAGGATGGTACAAACATAAGAGCTCTCCCATAAATACACTGACTATCATCCTCTGCTTGAGAAAACACCATTTATAGGTAGACAGCCATACCCTTGGACTGGGCACAAGTTTAAAATTATAAGATCATGGACTGGTAAAACATTTTAATTTTTGTTAAATTTTGGCAGTTACGTCCCTCCTTTAGTAAGCTGGACAAATTTCTGTTATTTGGTTGTGTGGGGTGGTTTTTTTTTCTCTTTTCCTGTGCCCTTGGGTATTTTTGGGTTAGCGAGCTCTAAAAGCAAAAATAAGCAGAAATTATCATGAAAGCAGGCTGAGCAAAAAGTGGGTCTTTTTACCATGAGTCTTCCTTCCTCAGAATGACACATCAGACTTCAACGATCCCGATAGGTTGCGTGAGAGACAGGAAATGCCTGCCAGAAGCTGATTTCTGCTGGCCAGAGGAAGTGGACATGATGATGCAGTGTCTCAGCCTGCTGCTCCTGCAAGGCTGTGTTTTCTTTGGGATAAGTAAAGCAAGGCAACAGGGCTTCAGGCTCATTAGCTCGGCTACAGGTGTAATTAAGCACAACTGGAGAGAAGCTTTAGCTCTGCATTTATTTTTAGATGGAAGAGATCCCAATAAGAATTCTTAAGTATAAGGTACCTTATTAGATTTATGAACAGAGTTTTAAAGATTTTGAAGTCTCCTTCACTCAAACATCAGTCTGTACCAGGAACAGCCTACATGCACAGTCTGACATTAACTTGACTTTTAACTCCTCCTTAGAGTTTTAGACTTAGAAATTTGTTTGATATACAGTCAGACAAAAATGCAAGAATTGATCAGGTGAACTGACCCTATCAAATAAAAATATTTATTTCAGTTAAAAGCACAAGATTTCTCTTATATTGCTAAGGCACAGAATCAAGGACTGAGTATGTTTATGTTGCTGGAGGTTAAAAAAGGAAAACCTAATCAAAACCCCTTCAATTCATAGTTCAAGTAACCAACCCATGCATCCATTCCCTTCTCCTGCAAGATTATTAATTCAAATAGAGTGCCATACCTAACAACCCAGCATCTGCTTTGTAGACCTAAATAAAGGGAAACAGTGGTCTCAGGGCAAATTCTTGTGGAGAAATTTGGCAAGGTTTAAGACTGAGTGATATGGAGTTTGGAGTGAGATTGCTTTGTGTTTGAAGTACTGTGGGAAGAGACTTTTCCTCATACTGCTGTCATGGAGTTATACTTGGTTCCACATGATGTTTCCATAGTTGTCTGCATTCTTCCCTCCCTTAATGCTGCCAGATTGGAAAGGAGTGGATCAGGTTTCCAAATGAGTTCACTTCTTTTCCATATATCTATGGCATTATTTGTATAAGTGAACAAGCAGCAACAAGATCTGGTAAAGAAGAAAGTGTAAAAATTGTCTGGAGAAGACTGAATTACATGAAAATCCTGAAATACATCACAGGCTGAAGAGGGTGATTAATTGAGGAACTCTGTCAGTGACATGACTGTGTTCCCTGTTAATGGTGAGATTCCCACTATCAGCTGTAGCAAAAGGAACAACTTTGTCAAGGTAGACTGATTACTTTAAGCAACGCACTAATATGGCATGTTCTATGTTATAATTTAGTAAAATATTACCATAACACAAGTGGAAAAATGTTAGTTTGCTAGTGCCCACTATAAAATTGAAACTTCCACCCAGTCCTCAACCCTAACACACAAGCTCTTTGGGATGATACTGCTTTCTCTTGGTGAAATGCTAAATTCTGTTGTAATTTTTCTATCTTGTTGGAACAACATCTTCATTTACCAGTCCTAGAAACTGACTGGATTGCTTTGATCCATTCTGTACGTTCTGTGGATGAGGCTGCTTGCAAGTAATAGTGGATTTCATTTGCTGTGATGATTTCAAAGAGGATGTTGTCAGCATCATACTTCTTGGCTACAAGGAAAAAATAAAAAAGTCAGCTATGAGAGAAAAAAGTCTTGTACTTTTAGTATTTCCTCCTTTACACATTGTAAGGGAATCTCCTTTCTTTTTACAGCTGAGCCTGATCAGGCCTTCACAAAGATTGGGTCCAAGAGATGAGTCTCTCTCTCTCTCAGCAAAACCACTCATGAATTTTTCACGTTTCACCCTCAGGAGTCACTGGTTTGTTGGTTTCAAATCATGGAAGGATCTGCAATCCTGCAGACAGATCATATTCCCCAAACTGTCCCATGCCTTGCCAGCTACAAAAAATAAGATGTTTGAGTTTTTGTCATATGAGATGCCAAGAAACTTTCTTGCTGGATATGATAGCCAGCCTCTCCTGTGGAGAGGAGAATGCATGACACTAATGTTTCTTTGTCCATGCAGCAACATCATTTTTGTTCCCACAACTTCTAGCTTTGGGAAGGAAGAGAAGGTGGACAGTAACAATTTGTCAGCATAACCATTTCTAGCATGAAGCTTCCATCCCAAATTAATTAACTAAAGAGATCAAACTCAGCTTACTTTGCCTAAAGGCCAGTTCTAACACAGGGTTTGTGTCATCCTTTTGACCAGCCTTCCTCAAAGTACTGACAATATACAAAAATCCTTATTGCTACTTTTACCACAGTGCCCTTCCCCAGTAGTTCAGACAGAAAGAGTGAGATCAGTTATTAGAATTCCTGAATCATTGCACATAGATTGCTTTGGAATAAAAAACACTTGTGCATTTGCTCTTAGGACCTAATTTGTTTTGATCAAGTGAGAGTACACATTAATTCTAATTAATCACAAATAAGAGGCGAAAATACAGATCAGTGTTACTTGATCAGTGGCACTTGCCACCCTGACTTGACAGCCCCAGAAACTATCCTTCACTCTGCTTTTCCAGAGGATGGCTAGGCCGTCTTTTTTTTTGTGCAAAACAGAGGCACTTCAACATGGGAGATTCCCCTAAACATATCACACAGTCTGGTAGTTATGATATTCACATGAGGTCTGTAAGAACTGGGTTTAACTGCTTGCTAGAAAACATGGCTGCAAAGTGCCTTGCAGGAAGGTACCTTGAATTATTGACAAGGATGAGCTGAAAGTCTTTCTGTCCCTGCAAAGATAACAAAAAAAAATGCTTATCTGGCTTAAACACCCTGGAAGGCGCACGGCTGAGAAGCTCAGGCAGAAATATGGACATAGGTGCCTCATGGCCCATTTTCATGACTGAAAAGCATGGGTGTGGAAGCATTTTCAGCAGAAGCTGTGACCCTTCCAGGCAGTGACCCACAACTCACTGAGGGCTAACTAAGTGCAGACAAACACTGGTGGAAGATTGCCATGAATCACTTCCTCTGGCATTTCAAAATACAAGTTTCTCAATTAGCTCCTGTTTGCATGGAAGCTCTTACTAACTAGGTTGGTAAGAATGTGACAGAGTAAAAGAGCAGCAAGGCGTGGGTCTAATTTCTTCCACTGAGTAAACTGATTAAACAAGAGAAATACTTTTTAGCACCACCAAAAAGTTCTTAGGCCCTCAAAGACTATTTTAACCATGCAGGTTCAGACTCAATATTAGGAAACATTTATTTAGAGAGAGGGTGGTCAAACACTGCAACAGGCTACCTAGAGAGGTGATCAATTCACCATGTCTGTCGATGTGTAAGAAGCTTTTGGACAACAAAACCCTTAACAATGTGCTTTAACCTTTGGTCAGCCCTGAAGTAGTCAGGTGGTTGAACCAGAGGATTGTTGCAGGCCCCTTCCACCTGACCCATTTTATTCATTGAAGAATCCTTATTTTGCCTTCAGTTCACTGATGTCTGCTTGCAGCGGCCTTGGAAACATGACATTCACTGTATTGCTTAAAGTTTTGCTGGAAATGAAGGTATCCAGTTATCGTCTGTCTTACACATCAAATATTAGTGGCTGAAACAACTCCTTTGCTCAAGTATGCTGAAAAAGTCAATGAAAACTGGCAACTGAATCCAGTTGTGTGTCCAGAGGGACACAGGAGTGGCAGCTTTTCTACCAGAGTTCAGTTTTGCATTGTACCAATGACTTGTCACATCTTCTGTGTTAGGACTCTTTCCTAATTAAAGCTATCAACTGTTTTATTTTGTGGTAAGAGCAATTAACCTTGCAATATTTGTCCAGAGTCCTGCTGCCATGCTGCAGCAAGTGTTCCTTGTGCAAAGGCAGGAGAGACAGAGATGAAACCTGCCAAGTGTAGAGATGCCATAGGGTAGTTTCTCTTTTACCTAAAGCTTTTAATTGTAAAAGAGTAATTTTGCACCCGTGTAACATCATCCTAGTGACAGGATGGAACATGGGCGACACTGACCTGTTTCAACAAACATCCTTGTTTGACAATTGTGCCTCTGAATTCTTCTTTTAGGACCACATCATCATCACTGGAATATCCCTCACAGAAAAATCCGCTGTCTGGCTGCAAGACCACAAGAGAAATGGTACAGAAGTTACACACTTGCTGCATGCATATGTACATGTACCAATCTGGCATCTTTTGCCTTCCCTCCATGCTGTTTTTTGCCATCCCAAAGAAGATATTATTATTGTTGTGGTTATAGTTATTGTTAAATAATCTAACCTTTTACTGGAAGAGCCTCCCAGTGAAGTTGAGGAGCTCTCCAAATCATCATGCACACATTTTAATGTGAATAGGGACTACACTTCTATGATACCAAGTCAAGACATTGACTTTCTGCAGCCTCCTCACACCACACTGGTATTGAATTAATCTAAAAATAATCCAAAAGCAAGCAGGGTACACATGGGCTGCTACAAGAAGCATCCCAGGAGGCCACAAGGCTGCCTTTACCAGGAGTGTCTCTGCTGAACAGTAAAGTCTCCCTAGCACAAACATACTTAGGAAAACAAATGAGTAGTGGGAGAGTAATTTTGCTGAAGCCAAGTGATTCCATGTGGCAAATATAAACAGAATTGTAATACCCATTTACTTGTTTTCACTTTATAGAAGGCATACTTTTTTGTTAGCATAAGTCCATAAGCCAAATAGCTTTCAAACATTATTTGATTGTGATATTTCAAGTTCTTCAAATCAGGCCACAGAATATGAAGTAATAAATGGAGAAGGCTGGGTATGACACCCAGGACAGGTTACTGGGGGATATTAAAAACTTTTACTTCTTTGCTCACGGGCAAGCTGTGTGTGTGCACACTCACACTGAGTCAGATTTGATGGCTCTGCACAAAAATGGGTTTGTAGCTTCTGCCACTCTGAGAAGCCCTGTGAAAATGATTTACTCTCTTCTATTCCACTGAATCAACAGGGAAACAGATGGTTAAATTCTGGTCACCAGTACAATTACCAGGAACAAAGTGTAAGTTAAAAAGAACCCAGCTTAAAGATGCATACTATGGGAGCCTTCTATCAGGCTTTGAGAATTCTCTACAAATTCATTTCCCACACTTAGTCTCAGCACTCAATTCACACTTAGAAGGTGCCAGAAAAAAAAAAATCTGTCCTAGTTAAAACTATTAAAGTGAGCAGGCTCATTCTGAGCATCACAGGACAAAGATAATTAAGACAGATTTCTCCATTTCTGTACAATCTTTCATCCAGGATTTAAGAAGCCCAACAAGAAGCATGAGAAAAGCAGAGTCATCAGTAAGTGAGACAATAAAAAACCAGAATACACTGCTCACAAAGTAATAGTAGGCATCACTGAGATCCAGGAAGGGGGTGTCTGACAGTCCCTCAGCAGCTGCCTTGGACGTGTCCCCAGCAGGCTGTAGATAGCCTTCACTCAAGAGGGAAGAGGCAAGCAGGAGACCTTCTTTGCGATTTCGGACGGAGCTGCTGGACACCAGCCAGTCAATCACACAGGTGCCTGGTTACAAAGGAACAAAATATCAGCCACAAACCAATAGAGACATGAAGAAGCCTAAAAGTACACAGGAAACAAGCCTACTCCATGTATTCATCAATCTCCTGGAAAATGTTCTTAGCAACAATATGGGGAGCTAATCTAGGGAGGTTCCTGGCCATCCAGTGAGGTACAGCCTTTGCAGCTGATGGCAGGGGCCAGGACAGCTCTCAAACACCATTCCTGATGGAGAAGAGAGCTGGGAGGGGATGCAGGGCTGAGCTGGGAAGCCTCAAAGATAGAGACTGGGGATGCACAGAGGATAGCCAAGCCTGGATGCAGGCTGCTATGCTACTAAAGTAATGCTGTTGGAAATCACTAAGGTTGGAAAATACCTCCAAGATCATCAGTCCAACCATTAACCCAACACTGCCATGTCCACCCCTAAGCAATGTCGTCAAGTGCTACATCTATGTGCTTTTGAGCACAAACACAGATTTGACTTTGAGAGAAACAGGAATTAAAATGGGACACCCTTCAGTGATGAAAAATCCAGAACTGAATAATTCTTCTGTATTTAAGTGTTTCACACTATAGTCTACTCAAAAGATTACTTCAATCTTTCTGACACTGCTAAAATTGTGTGCCTCTCCTTTGTCTACCATGGCCATAACTGAACACTTTTCCAAGATACATCCTTTGAGTATCTCCTGGGTTAGTCAAGAAAATATCAAACTTCTCTGTGCTCTACAGAGCTCAGAGCTGTTTCACCTCTTTAGTTTTTCAACTCTGTGCTCCCTTTATTGTATAGAATAGAGGGACAGGAGCTCCTTACCTGTAAAGCAGTGATTAAACACTCTTTTATCTTTTTCCAGCTTCAACTCCTTTATTCCCTTTTCAGGATCTTTCATTGAGAGGTACAAAGCGCTGTGCATAAAAAGAACCACAGAAACTGTTAGCAAATAAAAAGCTTTTGCCGTTTTGTACAACAATGTCATTGTCATTCATAGGGGCTTCACGTTCAGCTCTCTGCAGAGCTGTAACTTGGCTTAGTTTCACCTGCATCTCCTGAAAAATTCAAGTTGCAAAGCCTGGAGGTCTCACGGCATTACCTCAGAGCTGTGGGAGCAGAGGGCGGAGCGCGCAAAGGGCTCACCACATCCCCCTATTTTGAGAATGCAACTGCTTGTGGTGACTATAGCATGAAGAGAGGAACAAGACCCACTGCTGAGGCACCTTCACAGGGCCCCACAGACCCAGCAGGAGGGTTTACTGCAGTGCTCTGTGTTCACCCAAAGGTCCTGGGCTGAGCAGAAAACCTGTCCTGTCCCAAAGCCTGCATGCTCTCAGACAATCTTGGCCCTGTGCAGTTTTACTGTCTTATAAGAACACTTCAAGTTCATTTTTATCTTGGTATTTACAGCTCAGAGGCAGAAAACAAGTCATCCTTGATTTTGGAAAGTACTAAAAGATTGCTTCCCTTTATCTCTTCCTCTCCCCTTGACAATTTCATATTCTTTGGAAGGCACCACAGTCCCCTCACCATCCAAAAACTAGGCTAACATCAGCATTTCTTTGGAGAGCAAACAAAAGGTCTAAAATATTTTTTTAATAAATGATTTATTGTATAAAATGCTTCTCCTGGAAGAGTCATACTTTGGCTGGCACATCCTCTTGCACTCCATTATGCCCAGAAATCTCTTTATTGGCAAAAAATCTTTGATAAACAAGCATGTTTTGGTAAATGATAATATATTCAAAACGGTCTTCCCAGTTCTGATTGCCAGCTCATTTCTGACACATTGTACAAACTGAAATTTTTAGTCATGCAGAAAGGGCTGTGAGAGAATCCATGGACAGACAGGCTCCGTGTTCTTCCTTGTCAGACCAAGGTTACATGTCTGACACACTGACTGCAGAAGGAAGTAAATGGGAGAGCAAAGCCATGAGAACAAACCTCAGATTGATTGTTTCAGGCAATCTGATGGACTTCCTTGTGGATTTTCTGGCAAACCTTTGGCCTCCATCTAAGTGATGAATTGCTTTCTTGATATCCCGCACCCAGGCATCTCTCTCCTCCAGGTAGGCAGCTTGAAAAAAGTGGTCCTGCTGCTTGGCCACAGTGAGCTTGAAGACAAACTGGAATAATAAATTACAGGACGTTTTTTTAAAGTTGCTTTGGTGTAGCCAGTTGGGCACAATTAAGCTAGTACTACCACAACATACAGCCTATCTATGCCTAAGGACTACAGAAAGTGCCTTAGAGACACTTTCTGTAAAATGATAGAAACTCTGAAGAAAACCATGAACAAGCACTGCACATAACTGAATCCTTTCTGTTACTTCACCATCACTGATCCTGGCATTACCAGCACATCCAAGGTGTGCTGTGGAGGCAGCTCTCTGGTCACAGAGAGAAACAGACAACTTTCCCAGGCATTGTTCTGGAAAAGGTTGTGAGAAGCTCAGAGAGAAGAATTATAAACAGCTCTTATCTTAACTTGCTGCACCTGGTGTTGTGAACTTGTGGAATGTGTTATGGAGATATGTTTACCAAAAGGGTGGCTTCTTAATTAGCTTATGGTGATGGTGTTTTAATTAAAGGACCAATCAGGTGCACCTGTAGCAAACTAGAGTATAAAAGGAATGGGTTTCTTAATAAAGTGACTTAGTCTTCTGTAAATGCATGTGGTGTGGCACTCATTTATCTGTGTCGTTTCTGGCTCAATAGCAATAGTGTGTGACACCAATACAGCTGCTGATGCTGAGAAGTTCAACACAGCTGAAAGGCTGAAGTGATTCCTTGGAGTGGCTACTTGGAACAGAGGCTAGACAAGATTAAGAGAATAAAAGTGGGTGTTTATTAATGGCCTTCAATAGGTTCACCTTGGGCAGTCAGAAGCCTCCGAGGGGCTACACCCAAGATGGACAACAGTCACGAGTTTGTCAGGCAGATATAAGTTTGGTCCATTTACATATCAAGGGTTAATCCTCCAATTACAGCTTCAGGTAATGAAGTCATGTATTCCCAGTTTGCTTCCCTCCCCCAACTCACTTTTGTTTATGCTTTTGGGCTTGGGACAGTGAGGTGTCCTTGAGCTTCAGGCCTAGAGGAATCATTTTGTCTGACCAGAATGTGATGACAGTAGCTAACACTCTATATGGAGTTTTAGAGTTATACACTAAAGCAGTACAGGATTTGAAAAATATAAAAATTAAAATCCTAAGGCATCAGAAGCACCCACCTCCTGAAGGCTTACAATGGATGTAAATTTGTTTTAATGTTTAGAGACATGTGAACAGTCTGAAGAAGGAAAAATACCTCATATCGTATTCAGCTACTGACTCACAAGGGGGGAAAAGGTCCTACACTAGAGAGTACCTGAGTATATTTGCAGCCTAGTAAACCTTTAATGGCTTAGTAGGGAGGTGATACACCCAATCCTTGGCTACACCTTAGGATCACCTATCTCAACACACTAGCAACAATGGAAAGACTGTATTTCCCAAAAAAATGAGAACAGATCATCTAGAGGTAGTTGTAAACAGAAAAAATAACAATAACCTTAAAAAAACCCCAAACCAAAACAAAAAAACAAACCCGAAAACCATCCAAGAAAGTTCACACTGTTTGAACTCATTTCCATACAGTCATCTTCTGGATGGAAAATCTGGATCTAATTACTCAGGTTTCCACTTCCTCTAAAATATAGCTCCCCATGAGTGACACTAATTTGTTCTGTAGTTGTATTATAATAAATATCACAGGTTCTGACTCAGCAGGTGTCTAAAAACGCCAAGCTAAGCCACAAGTGAACAGCACAACTTGATTAGGGCAAGGAAAGCAAAGGCTACTGTCAAAGAGAAGCAAATTTACATCAGTGAAATCAACACACTGAATGAGTCTGCCCACGTTTGTAAATGATACATGTATGTAAATTTCTGAGCATTCCTCACAAGCATTTTCCAAACTGTGGCCAACAGGGAAAATTCTGACACCCTGAAATTATGCAGAAGTCCAACTGAATTTCATGGAAGATCCATTTCAAACTTATAAAGCAACAAGTCCTCAAAGTCCATCTCAGACAGAAAAGTAGCCTTTTCTTATCTGATACTCTTCATATTTCCAGCAATACTCACCTTTTCTGTTATGCAGGAAAGACACACTGAAAATCAATGTACAGTGTATGACAAAAGGAAACAGACAGATCTATCCAAATCCCAATATTCAACAGTCAAGCTAACACCCCAGATTAATAGAATGAAATATGAAAGCATTGACAAGATTTATTACCAAAGGAAAAAAAAAGCCTTCTCAAAGAGCTGAGAGGCAACCCAGAGTGAAATGCTAAGAAAAGTTTTCATTTTCAGCACATGGCAAAGACTGGCAAAGTAATTTCTTTTTAGCATTTACAAAGTTAGGCCAGCAAGTTAGATAGACTTCCAGGATTCCTGTGAAATTGGTAAAGAGGTTGAGTCTCCAATCTGAGATGTGACCAAGCCTCTCTCTGTTTTTGAGAAAATTAGACCATTAGACTAAACTAAATACCAACATGTTACGTATTTAAATTGGGGGAGATGAATCTGACTATGAGCAACCAAACAGGATAATGCTGTCCACACGAAAACGATGGGGGAAATGGAAAAAGCTGAAGAGTATCAGAATTTATGTTACATTAAACAATGATCAAACATTAAATCAAGGACAGCAGACAGTGGTTAATGCATTTTGAAATATAATCTCAAAATATGCAGTTGCAGCCCCTTCTGAACAGCCTTTATCTGTGCTTAACAAATCCAAGATTGCTTCTTTTCTCCTCAGCACATGCATTTTGCAATTGATGTAGTAAACAAAGTATGTTGGTGATGTGCTCTGAGCTTTCAAACGAAGTCCAGGTGCAGATACACAAGCTGATTCAAAAATTTAACCAGAGAAATATAGACGTTTGTTTGTGGCCCAATAGTCCCTGCTCCAAACTGGGCCCACACAGGTGAGACTGTACTTAAAACTGACCCAATGAGAATTATCCCACTATTCACCATACAGAATTCCTGTCCTAAAAATATACTTTCATTTCTAGCCATATAAACTTAAGAACCAGAGTAATTCCCATAAGAGGCATAACTGTATGCTTTGACATGTAACTAGTCAGAAGCCAGAACAGAATGCAGAAACATTGAATTCAGCAGTACAGTAAAGCTGTAAAATATAAGATGTAAAAATAAAGATTCTACCTTTTCAAGGAATACATGTAGGAACTTAGGTTTAATCATATTGGGCAGTACTTGTAAGAACAATCCTGGTGATAGCTTTGCTCATATGAATGAACATGTTCAATGTTTGACTATTTGAAATTTTAAGAGAAAATCCATCTCCAGGGCTACTGGTTTATGGACTTGCAGAATAATCTCACCACCTCAGTATGAAGGATCTGCTCCAATGCCTGCTGAAGTAATTTGGATTGTTTCCACTGAATTCAGCAAACCCTGCAGCAAACCTCATTTATGAAAAGCTATTTTGGGTGCCTCAACCCCTGGATCTCTCTTTGTCTTTATTATCCCTCAGAAAAGACCCTGGGAACTAAAACGAAACATAATGTAAAGCTCATTATGTAAACACCCAATGTAAAATGAAGCATAACAGAAAACCCAGTGCAGCCAAAGGAATGATCTTCAGAGATTGTCACCCTTCCATAAAGATACAATGCACCTTCTGGAGACTGGTGCATCCCAAAGGAACCCTTTGGGCAGGCAAGGATCTCTCCCACTCTGCCTTCAGCAGACATCAGATACTTCTGACCTCTGTGCCTGCTTTGTTGAATGCACATATGCTGGTGAATTATTTTTCCTTTATTGTAAATACGTTACTGACATTTTCAAGCAGCTATTGTGAAACAATGTTGATGGCAGTGCCTTTCTGAAAGTTAAAGGAAAAAGCCAAAACCCAACACAAAACTGGAGAAGAATCCTTTGTGAGAAAAACTTAATTTCTACCATTACAATCTAGGTCTGTGATACTCTTGCATAGTACCCTCCTTACCATAGAGTAAGGAGTGTTGTGCTGAGAGTTGTTAATAAGATAATCAGCACAGGATTAACAGCAATGTTTATTCTCAGCCCCATCCTTTTTCTATACTGTCTCAAAGACCGCTTGGAAGTTAACAGGCCCTTTCTCTTGACAGATGTAAGTCTAAAAAGACTTAGTAAGAATCAGGGTGGGGTTTTTTCTTATAAATATGGGTTCTGCAACAACAACAACAACAACAAAAAAACAACACCACACTCCTCCCCACCCAAAAAAAAAAAACCAAACCATAACAAAAAAAAGTAAAGAAAGAAAGCAGAAGAAAGAAAAGAAGGAAGAAGCAAAGCCAGCAGGTCCAAATATGACAGAATGGATCCTGATTCCTCTTATTACAAAACCTAAGGACAGGTTTAAGTAACCCCACTTTACTTATATGAAAAAGTAAAGTTAACTGTCTCAGCCATGTCTCACACTTCCTATTTTTCTAATACTCTCACGAAGACTCCTATCTTTAGTCAGGTATCCCTGTGGTAAATTTCTTTAAACTGTGGTGGAATAATGTTCCAGATTCTGGGGGCCCTCTTTGTCAGAGGAATTCATGGGGATGTCATGCCTATTTGATGAAACTGAGTTGACAAAATAATAAATGATTAATGATATATTATTCTCATATTGCTCATATGAGAAATTCTGTTTTACCAACTATTTTTCAGGAACCCTGTAACAAAATATGTGTGTCACAGCATTTATCTCCTTCCTGTCTGAGCAAGCCAGTTGTTCCTTGATAAAAAATAAATGCTTCTCCTGGTCACAAAATATTTTCCCACAGCTTTATTCTGTGACACTTAGAGTTATATTTAATACAGGAGTTGTTGATATTCAGCTGCAAAATGTCTTCACACCAATAAAATTTAATTCTGCTCTCTGACAGACTCAGAAGTTTAATAAAAACCAACCAACCAACCCCCCAAATGCTTTCTGAATTATTCCTCTTGAAGTGTTCTGAATTCAAATAGTGCACAATTCCAAGCCTGCTTGTGACCTCCTAAGGCAAGTGAGAATCGCCACTAGGATGAGTGCCAGGAATTTGCAGCCACCACCCTTTTGCCTTTTCAGTGCTTCCAGAAGTACACATATACTGTCAATTATTTTTATAAAAAAAAGTACATACCATTCTTTTGCCAAAATCTTGGCATGGGCTGTGAATAGAGCTTCCTTTTAGTGGGATCATCCCTTTGGGACTGTTATCAGCCTTCCGCTTGTAGAATTCTATTCCATCTTCTAAGAGCACAACCCACATTGGCTTCCAGGTATTAAACATGCTGCCCTGCATCAAAAAATCACATATTATGTTCAATGAAGAACTCTTCATGTGATACCCAAGGAAGATATGAGCTTCCAGGGGGTGTCTGACTGACGCTGAAGTAACTGCAGTTTGTGTTTCAAGGGAAACATGCCACATCCTACTATGCAGTTAAATATTGTTGTTATTTTTCTGACCACCATTTATTTCCCTTTGTAGTTGCCCTGCCAGTGGAAGCCACTGTGGATTTAAATAAAAGTAAAGGCTTTATCCTAGGGACTGTACTACAAAAGACTCCAAAGCAGAGGTTGCTGTGGAGCAGCAACTGCCTTCCCAAAGACTGGATGTGGCTGTGGCCCCACACACTGTCTCTAGGCCAAGGTGATGGGACCTCTTTAATCTCACTAGTCTTCCTTTATGTTTAACCCAGCTGAGTAGGCTGTGGCTCTTTCCTGTTGCCTCTTTGCCAAGATTCCACAGTATGTTTTCCTACATCTTCCCAACCTGTTCAGAGTTAGTTTTCTCTTCCACTCAGTCCAAACTAACCCACTTACCTTCTTAACCAAGTAGCCTTCCCTTATGCGCATCGGCTCTCGCTCCATGGCTTGGGCAATCCTGCTCTGGGCTCTGTCAGTGCTGGCTGTCAAGTTCCTCTGGCAGCAAAGTCTGTGGGATCGTGGTTTTACAGTACAGCTGTGTCATTTCACAAGTTCCTCTCAATGCTAATCGCAAGCCCATTTCCTCTTACAGAGTGAGAGATAGGGAAATGCAGAAGTACGTGTGTATTTATAGTGTGCCTCTGACAGCACAGACAACAGCCTGACAAAACACTCCATCATCTCAAATACAGCTAGCCTGGATGACAGAGTCCTGGGAAGTTAAACAAGCACTTCAGTCATAAGAAACTGTGCCTGCTCTGCAAATACATGAGCTCTACCAAAACACACAGGGCATGGTGCTGCTGCTGCCTGGCTTGTGCCAAATGATTTCAGACATAGGTTTCCAACGCATCAGTGCTTTCACTTCACTCTGCCTTCCAAACCTGTCTCCCTGAGGGCAAGCATGTAGAGTCTGGCAGGAAAGCAGAGGACCCTCACTTGGCTAGCGAGGATGCGCCCTCTGCTGACATAAGAAATTTGTCTATCAGACTTGATCAGGATTTGGATTTGATACTGAGGCCTCCCAAATACGTCAGCTGTCAAATAGGCACAAATGGATTAGACCCGTGCATTACATAAAGCACTGACCACAAAATGCTTTTTACAATCATCTTTTACTTGCTGCAGAACTTGTTTGGCTTTATTTGGGAAAAGACAAGGCAAACCCATAGTTTTTTATAAATACCAGAGTCACAATCCCTCTTCCCCATATAGAAGAAAGTGGGGGTATATAGGAAGCAATAAGAGGTTGCTTCATGGTGTCTTGAAACAGCCTCTTGTGTTTTTCCAAGCACAAGATTCCAGGTCACTTTTGCAGCTAAGCTCATTCAGATAAATGTTGATTGAGCCCAGGGTGACTCCATCTGTCACCTTTGCCAAGCGTAAAGATCCCTAAACAGGGACTTTTTTCACAGACAGAAATTCCTGTTCTCCATATGACTCTCTGTCTCAGCCTTTACTCTGAAGGAAGTCTTACTCAGAAGTCTGACAAGGTCTGTGACAGAGGACCAGAGGGTTAGCAGAGCCCTCAGAGACCTTTCCTAGATATTCCTCACTGATGCCTATTTAGTGGTATTCTTACAGATGAGACTCCATTCCTTCCTTGGTTATCTGTATCAATTCTTCACTATCCCAACTGCTAGGTGTTTTCCTCAATGTCTGAATGGAGATTTTCCTTTTCCAGGTCTTTCTCAATGAGTTGCTGCTCAAATGACACATCCAGTCTTTCTGCAGGCAGAGCACCTGTCTGTGCCACCTGTTTCAGGTTAAACACTTTAACCTGAAACATTCTGGTTATGTCATGGTGCATTCTTTCCAAATCATACCTTTTTGTGATTATTTAATCCATCACTATGTTGTTTAGAGTATCTAAAACCTGCAGTCTCAGTACATTGTTCCTTTGCTCATGTAAGTCATACTGTTGTAAAGATCTTATTGCTATTAGAGGCACTAGTTGCTGATGAAGCCAATCATCCATCAGTTTGCAAATGAAAGACTCCATGTATTCTCTAGCTGTGAAGCATACTTGAATTCAACAAATAGATTTTAAAATTATTAGAGACAGAAACTCAAATAGACCTAATAAAACTTCATGGTCCTTGGAACTAAAAGCAAAAATTTACCACTAAAAATTGATCAAAACCCTTGTCTGATGTTTACAGTAGAAAATTTGTCTACCACATCCAGGACTTGGAATGAACTGGAGATCCTCTGGATTCCCACAGCAGTGATGATCTAACTGGATTTCTGAGTTATATTTCTGTGAAGGTTCTCTTCATCCCCCATAAGTCTTAAAAGGATGTTTGATAGACGGAGGAGCTTGTAGAATACTCTTGTATAATGTCTTTTTTGATCCCTAGATCTTTTTGCTTTAAGAAGGTGAATTGTTTCCTTCTCTTCCCTTTCATTTCTGTGGTTCTATCTTCAGGAGAAGATACTTTTTTTCCTTTTCTCCAATTAGATTAACCAAAAATACTGTTGTCACAGACAAGAGTAACCCTTGAAGTGTAATTTGGAAGCCAAATTATCCCTTTATTATCTGCCTTGAGGACATAATGCTTCAGAGCTTGGAGCTATGATTAAAGACCAAGAACAGGATCACAGTTCTCTCTTCCTTCTGTCTCTTCCCCCACCTCGGGTCTGAGGAAAGGAAGCCCCATCCCAAGCTAGAAGGCTTTATAGGGAACAAAGACAAAAGAACCTGCTAGGATTTCCCTCCCTGCAGGCATCCTTTGTGCAGGTTTTCCTGCTCACCTGCTCCTGCTGACTCAGTGTTTGTGCTGAGTCAGGATGACAGGGCCCTACACAATAAATTGGTTATATGAGATGACCAGGGATAGGTACTCCTCAATAGAATATCTATATATCCCTATATTAAAAAGTGGTTTAATGAAAACAGAAAAGGATGGTGACTCCACAATTTCACAAAAGCTCTTTTTTCTCACTTACCTGCATGAAAAGCCTTTGGAGGTATGAAATGTAAATCTAAACAAAGTGGCATCTAGCCAAAGGCTCCAGAATTTAGCATTGCTACTTATGCTACTCATTTTGTGTCAAAACACAAAATAACTTCCATCTAATGTTAGCTGAAGGCAACCACTTTTATAACACTTCTCTATAGTGTTTCTATTTCATCCTCAAAGCTCAGCTGGTTCTTTTGCTGTTCCACTTTACAAGTCTGGTACAATCCTGTTCTTTAACACTGAGGTTTGGTTTCATTTACCACACACCACTGCAGGGAAATCAGCATTCATCCCCCTCAGACAGAAACATGCTGATGTGGCTGAATCATTGACGTGAGGCAAAATGGTCCTTAAACACACAGTAAGTAGCTGTGGTAGGTGCAAGGGCGTGTGGACTGTGGATGGGGGTCTTTGTCCAGCCATTCCTAAAGAGCAGCACCAGGCACAGGAGAGAGGAAGAGCTGCATTTCTTTTACCTCTCCACGAAGGGGAGGAAGAGCTTTGTCAGAAAGAGAAGATAACCTGCAACGTGTAAGTCTGCTATAACTTACTGTGTCCTCTCCATTTCAATTTCAAGAAGGGAAAGGTGCATGATGTCAGATGAGCAGAATTTGTCACAATATGACAATCTGCAGCAGAGCTGAATATGTTAGCTCAGTTTACTCTTGTACAGGAGAATTTGCTGATGTATTTCTTCAGAAAATTCTTCTTTATTTCTGCTACTTCAGAATACAAGTTCCTGCAAGCACTGGGAAAAAAAAAATCGATCAACCACATTTATCTAAGCAAGAGGGACTAAGACGTGTTTATACCAAAAATTGGAACCATACAGCAGCTGCAAGGAAGGCAAAACTCTCAGTTACACCCACTCCATTGCTCCACAAGCCCTTGCAGAGATGGTTCTAACATGTTTGCTGCAATGTAAATGCCACAAACCATCTAATCTGCTGCAAAACACATGACCTATCCATAAATATATGTCACTACAGCAAATCAAGCTGCATTTGTAGGGCAAATTATAACAAATGTTATATGTTCAAAATTATTGTCTATATGGGAAAGATGATACACTCAAGTGATTTCCAAACAAGATAAAGACTGTCCAGCTGATATTTCAGTAAAAAACCACTTCTCATTCTGCACAGAGGCAGAGGGCTCAAAAGAATCAAAGTTTTAAATTGAGAGCTGGCAGGTGCAAGCCTTAGCACAATTCCCTATATACAAAATCACACATATGGCTATTTTTAGAGCATGAGAGATTGTGGCTTTGCATGCCCATCTTGGAAAGAAACCCCAAACTACAACATTTCCAAATTTAGCACTGTGTTAAGAAATTAATCAAAGAGGGGCAAGCATAAAAATGCTAATATGGGTATCACATGTCACCTTAGAATCTAAATGCTGTGGTTTGGCCATCTTAAATGAACAACCTTGTTCTGCCTCAAGGTACATTTTTCATATTTAATGATTGTTGAGCTTTGCAGCAGGATTAATGCATTAGTGAGAAAGTCTGCAAAAATGTTAATACTTGAAAGCTTATGCAGTTGACATATCATGCCTAGAGAGATCATATTGAGAAGGTGCAATCAACAGACCAAACACATCTTTCCAGAGTGTTTTCTAGATAATTTAGATCTGCATAAAGCATAGATCATGCTTTATCTGCATGTTATCTCTTAGCCTTCATTGAACACATCCACCCTCACCTCTCCCCTACAGTAGCTCCCCATCAGTGACACATGCAGGTTATGCTGGTGCAGCAGGGAAGGTCTATGCACAAGAAAGAGGTCTTGGAGGATGCAGCTTGTACACGTCTTGCAGGCTGTGTGAGACTTTCATAGTCTTAGGAAGAAAATTAGATGTAGAACTGCTGGGTACAACTCACTCACCGCTCCCTTCAAAAGCCCTGAGGCATTTGCCAGGGCACAGATGTGTGCTCCAATCTTCCTACCCAAGGGAAGGGAATTAGCTTAATGTCCCTTGCTGACTCAACACAACAGACTGGAGCTGTTTCCCTCAGCTGCCAGGGGAATGAAAAGTAGATTTGAAGGACTGAAAAAAACCAAACCAAAACACACACACACAAAAAGAACCCAAACAAACCCCCCCCCCTCCCCCCAAAACAAACAAACAAAACTACAGTTTTGTAGTTTAGAAAGACATTAAATATTGTAGTCCCACCCCTCAAATGTAGGTGTAGAGAAATGAGGAATTGACACAACTTTATCTTTTTGTTCCCAGAAGCAAATTGCTGCTGTGGCTTAGGAGAAATAGGACTTTGTCCTAAGTCTAAGATGATTTATTTAGCTTTGAATCTTGTAAATGTCAGCATGTTTACTCTGTGCTCCTGGAAAAACCACACCAACTCTTCTTTCTTCAGATATTTTGCTCCCTACAGAATATCAGGTGATTAACATCAGGTAATGTAGCAGCCTGAGATCTGGGACCCATAGAAAATCCCCATAGGGACTGGAAGGGCCTGGTTTCTCTAGCCAGGGCCCATCCCACAGCATCAAGCACCTCCATCCTTGGGCTGAGGTCACTCCAGGTACTCAACATGCAGGGCGAGGTCAGAGGCATCCATGGGTGGAGATGTCTGTGGCAGAGCTGGAGACCAGCTGTCCTAAGCATAATTCAGGAAGGGCATAGGAACCAAAACTAAACTGAAACTAAACCATGGGCAGCCCCAGGTGATGCTGGTCAGGGCCATTAAGGTGGGCAGCAACAAAACTAATCTCCCAGAAGGACTTAGCAAAGGCAATCCCTCCTGTGATTCATACTGATGAAGGGCATCTGTAAATGTATTAACACAAGTGAAATTATTAGATCAATCAAAAGAAGATCATTGCCTAAATTAAGAATTTCTTCTTCTGAAATGTTCTACTCTCACCATGTTACACTTGCATATGGTAAGACAGTTACTATGCATACACATTCCATAATATGATGCTTTTTTAGTTATCCCTCACATTTCCCCAATACTGGTCAGGGATGAAGTCCCAATCTGAGCTGTGTCCATAGAAAGATAATCATTCAGGCAGAAATGATGAGGGAAAAAAACCTCTCATTATAGATCTGACCTCTCATGTACTTAGGAAGCTAATTGCAATCAATGTCTTCAGCTACACACAATTTACTACAACATGTTATGTCTGGCCCATGAAGCAAGTAAATCTGATCCCTGGCCATTACTCTTCACACACCACTTTAAGTCATGGTATCAGATTCTCCACAGGTTAGGCCTCTGTGATTTCATAGAGAATTACATTTAAACTTACAGAAAGGGCATTTATTGCCAGAAAAACTGCCAACAAGCCACAAAATGCAGCAGTTTCTGCAGAATGCAATGCAAAATGAGATTTCTCTTGTAGTGATGAAAAGAGATAAGGAGAAATGCACTAGGGGTGGGTGTTGTTTGTTTATTTTTGTTTTGTTTGTTTAGTATTTTTGCAGAGATACACAGTTCTGAGAGGCAGGGGTCATATCCTGCCCCTATATTTGTGGAAACCTGAATGGCTGAACACATTATAAAACCTGTGTTTAGCTGGACCCTAAGCAAGGAATATTCAGTAGGATTTTGGGGGTTTTCGGGCTTTTTTCCAGAGGTTTTCAGCAGAATATATTCTTTTGCTTAAAGTTCATAATAAAATTAAATCACTGAATAACTGGCATGCATAAGAAAATGCAACTGGGCAGTGCTGTATCTACAATTTACTTTGTTTACATTATGCCACCACGTGTACATTCCAGCTTTAGAGAAACAAAGAACAGGTCAGGTCCAGTGCAACATGGATTAACCTAAATTCTCCTAACAAAACCATTAACTCTGCCATAATGTTCAGGCAAAAAAAATTACTTGTGGCCCAAAAAAATTACTTGTGTCAGACATAAGGGTGCTACAGTTTTAACAGCAAACAAGAACAAATAAAAAAGAATGGAAAAGAGGCACAAACCTGCCTGGGTTAAAAGTAATCTCTTTAGAGATGGGAATGAGACAGGCTGAGAGTTGAATTATGGTAAATTGTTCAGTTTCAAAGATCTTTGTTGTTGAACAAAGAGCACCAACCATGTGTAAAGAGTAGTATTGGACTTCAAGACAAGAGATTCTGATCTTATAGCGCAGTTACAGTGTAGGGTTTTTTTTTTCTATTTAAATAAGAGGATTGCAACGAAGTGATTAAAATAATCCCAAGAGAAACCTTGACCTGCTGATGTTGACTGTTGACCTCGGAGAGCAAGACAGTGACCCTCAGTCCAGGCATGGTGACTCTGACAGTCAAGAAAGCGACCCTCAGTCCAGGCACGGTGACTCAACAAAACCTTTTGCTGCACCGGGAGAGAGAAGAACCAGAAAGCCACGTCTTTGCTGCTCATCCTCCCCTCTTTCTTGGGCGGTTCTGGCTCCTCCGTGCTGCCACACAGATGTTTCAGCCCACCCCGGAGGGCTCGATCAACCCTCGGGAGGCCTTTCCGGGGGGGAAGATCAGAGGGTGATTTGGGAGAGCTCCCCCCAGGTGAGTGGTCGGGGGGTGGTTTGGGGGGCTCCCCCCAGATGAGGGGGTCGGGGGTGTTTTGGGAGCTCCCCTCAGATGAGGGCTTGGGGAATGGTTTGGGGGGGCTCCCCCAGGTGAGGAGATTGGAGGGTGATTTGGGGGGGCTTCCCCAGGTGAGGGCTCGGGGAGTGGTTTGGGGGACTCTCCCAGGTGAGGGGTTCGGGGAGTGGTTTGGGGGCTCCCCTCAGCCGGGACCCCACGGAGGAGCCCGCGGGCGCTCCCTGCCCTTGCCGCTGTCCGCGCCCGTGGTGCTGAACGGCGGAGCCCGGCCCGGGCCCGTCTCGTTTCCTCCGGGACGAACTGCGGGATTAAGGCTGTAGTAATCGGGGCCGGATTAACTCCCTGGAAACCGGCAGCAATCTGAGCAGCTGCAAATGCCCCCCAAACCGGGATATGGGGCGGGGTGATGAAGTGGAGGCGGGGGGGAAGAGGGGGGAAAGACATCAACCGCCCAGATGCTACGCCGTGATTAATGGGAGGGAAAATAATCAAGTATCTCATCCGCTGCTTTTGGGAAGGGCTGGGCTGGCTGGAATCCGGCAGCCCCTCCTCTTCCTTCTCCCTCCTCCTCTTCCTCTCCCTCGCTCCCGGCCAGCCGCCTTTCCTCGGAGGGGCGAGACGAGCGCAGAGCCCGCAGGCCCCTCCGGCCGCAAGCGATGGGCGACATCCCCGGCCTCGTGAAAATCAGCGTCTCGCTCAAAATCCAGCCCAACGACGGGGCCGTCTATTTCAAGGTGGACGGGCAGCGCTTCGGTCAGAACCGCACCATCAAGCTGCTGACAGGGGCCAAGTACAAGATCGAGGTGTCCCTCCGACCCGGCACCGTCCAGGCCACGTAAGTGCGGCTGTCCTCCTCAGGGCGGCTCCCCCGGCCCTGCTCTCCCTCCCCGCTGCTTTATTTTTAGACGTTTAATGTTTTTTCCTGGCAGGCTGACAGCGCGGGGTTTCCGTGATTTCTCCCTCCCCGCCCTTTTTCTTCGGTGGCCCCGTTTCTGGGTCCCTCTCCGGCTGTTCCCTGTGCTTGGCCTGGGGGGAGGCCACGGTTGGGAATCGCTGCCTTCCCTCTCGCTCCCCACCCTCTCCCGGAGATTTTTCAAGCCCAGCTCCTTTTCTCCCTCCTTCCCCGCGGCTTTCGCTGGAGGAAGAAGCCCCACCTACACAATGCCCAAGCCTCGCTGCGGCGTGAGGCAGAGACAGGGACCAGATGGGGAACCAGCTCTAGGTGGAGGAGCAGCCCCGCCGAAGAGATCCGACCAACCTCTCTCTGTCCTTTCGAAATCAGATCCCGCCTGCCTCTCCTTTCTACTCCTTCCCTGGGTGACTGCAGAGCCCTGGCATATTTCAGTAGCCCCAATGAGTCAGCAGCACATGCAGGTCTGCTAAAATCCCTGAAGCTTTTCCCCAGCACAGAGGCTACCAGGCTGCAAACCCATGTGCTGGCTCCAAACTGCCAAGGAAGGGGAAATTCGGGGCTGTGAAAGGCTGGATCCTGTCTTTTTGTAGGACCATGGGCATCGGCGGTGTTAATGTCCCACTGGAAGAAAAATCACGGGATGCACAAGTGGCCTCTTACACAGGGATCTACGACACAGAAGGGGTGCCCCACACCAAAAGTGGGGAGAGACAGCCCATCCAAGTCAACATGCAGGTATGTGGTTCTCCAAGCCTGGCATGACAGGATGAGGGAAGGCAGCAGGGGGTTAACTCCCAGAGAGAGTGTGGTGAAATATTCCAGGGCAAAGTCTGGTCGCAGCTGCTGCCTTCCTCTTTGCTTTGTGTCACTAAGGTCGCTGGCCAGAACATAGCTGGAAAATACAAGTCCTGCTGCCTTCTCTCCCAAGAAAACAGCAAGGGCCAGGAGGAGGAATAAGGTTTTCTAGAGACCTGCAAAACCCTTTGGGCTGCTAGCAGAAAGAATTGTGCGCTGAGCATCCCACCCCTTCTATAGGACATACTATACATATCAGGCAGCTCCCATCGAGGTTCTTGGCTAGAAATCCAATCCCTTGGCATACAGGGACTCTCTTTTGCCTGGCAGCACCATTTTTTTGGCACAGAGCATGCCCCAAGCACAAGGGGTGATAGCTCTCCCCTTCCATCTGTCACCTTCAGCATGCCTGCAGACTTGCCAGAGACTAGAAGCATGCAGGAGGACACCCAAGGCTGTCTTCTCTCTTTTCCCATATGTCTCCATCAACTGCACCCACAAACCTAAGTTCATATTTAAGTGGCTCATCATCCCAGTCTTAAAGAGAGGCTCCATGACCCCAAAGTGAGATGACAAAAGCTCCAGCCCATAAGACAGCAGAGCTGACTGAAGACATGAAGAGCAGCAGGCAGATTTCCACAGCACTCTTTGAGTGGTATGCTCAGTTTTGGCAGGTTTTTTTCCTTCTCCTGATTATAGCTATGAGGGATTTCTGCTGTATATTCCATGTCTTCTCTACCAAAAAAAGGAATCAAGGCAGTAAGCCATTTTTGTCTGAAGCTCTCTTAAGAGTCTGTTGCAGCTTAAACAAGCCCACCAGATTTCAGAATTTTATGACACTTGCTTACTGCGCACAAGATTTCATATTGCTCTTCAGTATTTTTTTTCTGGAATCATAGTTCAGCATAGTAATCCCCTTCTGAATAAGAACTGCAACATCTCCATTTGGTGTTTCTAATAATTACAGTGTGCCTAACTTAATTTTGGAGACCCACATCACATCACATCACATTACTATTTCATAATCTTAGGTTATTAAGACTAATATGGAGTATTACGTTAATCACTTTTATATACGGCCACCTCCTTTTAAAACCCAGGAAAACCAAACACAGTATTATTTCACAACAAGCTGAACATAGCTGCTGGATGCCACTGTTGTAGTTATAGTTCACCTTGCACCAGGAGGAGAAAGGACAGCATTCCCAAAAAGACATCTGGTTTGACTAAGCCATCCCTGTTTTGTTGGTCACCTTTACCCTTAAGTGCAGCACTGATGTGAACTCTGAAAAGTTTAGAAAACTCTAGAAGTTTAACTTTTCCTTTGAACAAAACCAAATCAAATCACGGATGAAATGTAAGGTGGGGGGTCTGACTTTCAGTTACAAGCTCTGTCATGGTTTGTTGCAGCATCAGAATGAGTAGCCACAATATTTGCCCAAAGAGCTGCTTTTACAGATCAGATCCTAGGATATTAACCGTGAAGCTAATAGGATTTTCAAGCATTAAGCAGGTCCTTAATTCCTTTTAGGAACTGATCTTGATAGATAGGTTCATCAGTACAGACTTAGATACCCACAAATGATACTTTTAAGTATTAAATATAGGCAACTCAATAGGGATTTGCATGTTTAACTCATCATTTAGCTCCTTAGCCAAGCACAGCTGTACTAGATTTAGGGAACAAGCCTCAGATACCCCAGTCTGCTTTGGATACCTACTTCCTGAATCTTCAAAACTGAGCTTATTGCAAACATTGCTTTAAATTTTCCTATTTCCTTCAACTATGAGGAACTTCTGCCTCCACTTCCTTTTCTAGAACGGACAGAATCCTGATGCATCCTATGGCAATAAGGACACTATCTTAGGCATGAAAACTGATTTCACATTAGAAATAGATTGTGAGATCAGTCCTGCAGTCAAAAACAAGTCTGATACTGCCAATCTAGTATCTGAATGACTTAAGGTCCATTAAGATACATAAGAACTTATTTCCTATCTGCTTTGAAACTTTAAACAAATAATTCTTTGTGTTGCTGCTTTAACTGGCTAGTAGACATCTGACCCATGACAGCCAGAGTTTATACATGTTAAACAGCAATCCTGTTTCTGAATTCCAGACTCTGATTATATGTTTCTGTTATCTGGTTGGTCAATCGTGCACACTATCCAGAAACTGCTAAACTGTCTAGCAAATGGTGCAAGCTAAGTTAGAAGCCTGCCTTTGGGCCTCATTTTATTCTTGATCAGACTAGGCTAAGATTGAATAAAGAAGCTAGAACTGTATCCACAGTAATAACTATAAAATAATCTCAGCATGCAAATGTAGAGGGAGTGATTAAATAACTATTTACTCCTACAGCACCAGAGGATAGAGAAGAGCAGACAGGGAAATACACTTAGCCTGAAGCCTGACCTGCAAAGAGCAGGGCTATTCTTCCTCCCTGGGGATGCCCATATATAAGCTCAGTGGAGTAGCCAGGATTCAGCTGTAGGAGCCATGGGAATTCAGGGAAGCTCTGAGGATGCAGAATGTTCATTATGCCACAGAGCTTCTGCTAAGTACCAGGCTGGGGAAGCCACATGGTAGTAGAAAAGCTCTGCAATTAATTTTTTCCTTCTCCTGGAAACCCACAGCAGTCAAACTGCTCAGGGTAGCTCAGCAAACTGGGTCATTGAAGGAAAATTAAATTTGCTTTCTTCATCTATCTTTTTGAAATTCAGATCCTTCATACATGAAGGAATGAATGAAATGAAATTATGCTCTTGTGTCATATCACCTTCTACAAATATTACTAGAAATGCCTTTTCTTCCTTAGTTTCCACACTGAGGGTGGCTGATTCTCCTCTGACAAGTTTTGTGGACTGTGCACAGTAATATCCTATGTGCTTAACCTTTACTGTCTTGCATTATGAGTGTAACAGGACTACTATCAAAGACAATTGATTTTAAAAAAGTCCTTAATTAATGTTTTAGTTGCTGGGAGAGATAAAATAGCCTGTACATCTGATTCTTTCTTAGTCAAAGGAAGTGGCAGAAATGTTTCAGTTACTCCTTCAAGGTAACACTTGTAACTGGAGCCGAATAAAACCCCTCCACTTACAGCACACAGCAACTTCTGCTATTGTCAAGACTAAATTTAACTTACCACAGTGGGCGGAGGGAAGGTTTAAAGTAATGGATGTTACACAGCAGCACCTTACAAACCACATGTTGAATTTCAAAAAAACAACAACAATTATGTCCTTCTGAAAAAATCTGGATACAGAAGACTCTGCTTGTAAATCAGGAACAATTTCTCTGTAAAATATGGGCTTTCATACTGACTTTGCAAGTGTGATTATAGCAGGCAGATGATCAAAGATCACCTCCCAGGCACATGATAAGAATGGAAAACAGTCAAGTGAAGAAGCTGTCATTAACGTGAGTGATGGAAATACTGAAAGGGAGAAAATACTGAAGAATGGTGCCATTCAGTAGCACTAAATTCACTATCTAGTATCTTCCAACAACATAACACAATCAAAAAGTCATACTGGCTTTGGACCAATGGCAGTACATACAGGCTTCAGACCCACATTTGAGATTCTCTGCTATGTCTTAAGGCATAGGAACTCAAATTTTCCATTACCATTAAAACTGAAATCAGAATTTATTCTTGAAAGCCTCACCGAGGTTTTTCTGATGTTATACAGGTGTCTAGGAGTGACTTAAAAAAATTATTTTTCAGAACTTTTTTATTATAGCCATAGAACTTTTATTTTAGCCACAGTCTCATTCACTTCAAAGCTGCGTGCACAGACAATTTGAAGTCAATGTCTCACTACTTCACTGTATTAGACACTTATCTGCTAAACAGGCTGATTATCTCTTTATTAGCTCCTATTACTCAGCTGCACTATCACAATCCAACTAGCAGTTACAGATATGCACACAGAAATTCTCTTGCTGAAGTCTCATTTAAAATGTGGAATAGAATCCCAGAAAAGTAGTAAGTGGTGTGCAAGAGCAGCACATCTCAGTCAAAACAGTACAAATGCAAGACTCCAAAATACAGATACATTAAAAGTTTCAGACTGAGAAGAATCTTCCTAATCCAAACTGCAGCCTCTAGGTATGATACAAAGGTAAAGTGATGGTCTGTATCACTGCAGATCACTGGTACATGATCTACAGTGTATACAAGCTGTGTCATCTTAAGAAAGATTATGCCTTTGATTCTTGTTGTTAGTAACATTTATCCATGTGGCAACTTGAATATTTTTACTCCCCCGCCTATGCCAGATGCGAGTGCAAGAGGACAGTACATGCAGGATCTGAGCCTTCATGTATTATGTATGGCTAAACATTTCTGATTGCTAGAGCAGGTTTCACAGGTCTTCAATTTATTGATCTGAGGAACAATGATCCTTATACCAGGTGTTTTATGTTCTGCAGCTTCACAAATGTTGTTTCTCAGGATGAGAGAGAAACCAACAAAATAATCAGCTCACTAACACTGGTATTCCCTCTTCCTCACAGTTTAATGACATTGGCGTTTTTGAGACAGTCTGGCAAGTCAAATTCTACAACTACCACAAACGGGATCATTGCCAATGGGGAAACAGCTTTGGCAGTATTGAGTACGAATGCAAACCAAACGAAACACGCAGTCTCATGTGGATCAATAAAGAGACCTTCCACTGAAGAGATGGGAAACCAATACTGCTGGACAATCTCCCTAAAGAAAAATCTACCTTTTTAAACCAGCAAGAAGCCTTAACAAAGGCATACTGTAACACTGCTTTGTCCATAAGGTTCCAGCAACTACATTGTATATACAGGTGGTGCCACTAAAATGTTTGCCTATTACTGTATTTTAAGTTTACCATGGCATCTGCAACATTCTTTATCTGTCACCCTGAGAATACTGAAAGGTTCATGGTAAAGGATTATCTGATAGCTTGGTAGGAAGTCATATCATAATACTGTTGTAAGTATTTGGATTATTCTGACTAGATGTAATAACTTTTGTGAAGTGTTTTGCTTCATTGCTTAGAATTTGGATTAACATCACATTGGTGATTTCTGTATTTACATTTGTGTTTGCTCCAAAATCAGTGTGTTCCTTCAAGCATTTTGTCGTACTGTCCTCCCCGTGGACACCAAAAATTAAAAATATGGTTATTTGTAGGTTTAGCTAAATGGCAGCTAATGCACTGTTGGTATTGTGTTTTCATACCAAGGGATTTGGGAACTCATTCTCCCTTTTGTTAAGTGCTGTAAGATATTCTGTGAAATTTGCTAATTTACCAAATCTCCTAAAGAGGATTCTTTTTTGTTAAGTTTCCCAGTCTTTGAAATAGCATTAGGAAATGGTGTAAAACATGATGAAGGAGAAGCAATAAATAAGTTGTGTTATCCAAGACATCTAACAACGTGGCTAAGACCTATATTAAGATCATACAGTATCCTTGAGAGATACAGCAGCCATACTTAATTTATTTCCTAGAGTAAGAGTTCTGATATTAAACTCCATTTTTATTTTAATGGCACATTGCTGAGATCAGTTAAATCTTACAAATCAACATTTTCAAGCCTGACCACTGTATTCATTGGCAAGATTTCTGACCAACAAGCACTCAGTAGTGTGAAGGGTGCAGATCACAGTGCATGTTTATACATGCACTGCAGTCTTTCAAATAAAGATAAGCATGCAAGCATTTGAATCATTACAACTAAAGGTGCTTCATAAACACTAGATCAGTGTTTAACACAAACAGACTACACAAAACAGACATATCTTTTATTTCTGTGAAGACAGGGAAGCAAGGAAACAACTACACTTGTCCTGTCCCCAGCTTGGGTTGAAGTAAGCTGTCAGTTCCTGCATATCTGTTATTCCCTTTGTGAATAATTTGTAAATTGTATATGTAAATGGTAAACATGACTTTTGATCTTTGTAATAAAGGACTTAAACAATTTCTTCTCTACTATGGCCATCTAAATGAGCTGAAAACACTGTATTAAAAAAGGCAGTGGTTTTAGAGAATCAGACAGTAGAGGGTATGTAGCCAGTGGTTTCTGAGAATGCAGTCCAAAGTACCTTCTGTTCTTCACCCAAAGCTACTGTTTCTAGGAAACACAGATCCAGTGTGCTAAAATGCAGATGGTTAATGTGATAACATTCACAAGAACTTATTAATACGCAGTTTGTTCCAGCAATATAGTGTGAAAAGTAATGATTTAGGACAGAATTGAATTAGCAAGGAAATACTTTCTTCCACTGAATTATTAATCAAAAGGCTTTACTAGTTTTCTAGCTTTACTAGATTCCTGCAGCCAGAAGAACTGACAGTGGCATTGAGGTAATACAGCTGTGGAACGGTGAGCTAGCCAGCTGCATCTCCATTCTAAGGCAACATTATATGGGCAAATTTTACTGAAATGAAAATCTAGAAATAATCTTCTCCATTAACTTCTTTCCTAGACTTTTCCTAGCAAGAATTCTTCAAAATGAAAAAACTGACCAAACTGAAATCTGCATTTCAGGCAGAAGCACTACTGGTAGCATTTTAGCAGAAGTTTCCAGATAACATGCTTTAATGATTCTAGACTTCCAGCTGTGAAAGCTGTGAATCAGTTCTGTCTCTACTTTGCTAGAAAAGTGATTTGATTCTCCAATAATTTGCATACTTTGGTTTATTTTGTTTCTACATATGAACACATATGTACACTGGCACAAAATACATGTGACACATAAATTCACAGACTTCTGTCCTAGTAAAAAACATGTAAGACCCACAGTGTCCTAGCTCTCCAGCATTTAAAAATGCTGAAATGAATAAATCCAGCCAATCCTGGCACAGGAGGATTGTTATTCTCAGCCAGCTGGAAGCATACCCTTCCTAAGGCAAATTCTCATGCCCACATTAATGCCAAATAGGGCATTTTCCCTTACAACCTAGCAGGTCCTGTAGCAATTCAGTTGAGAGGATGCTCAAGAAAAAGGCTGCAGATGGAGTGAGCTGCTTTTAAGAGGAAGGCGAGAACAGCAAGAGCAACTGCTGTACAGGTTCCTTATCCTAAGACTGAACATTGCTGCCCAGGATTGCAGCACCCCTTTCATAGACAGAAGCAGGGATAGAAAGGATGAGAATTGGTTAATCACTCCTCTGGGGAAGGTGTAAATGGCATTTATCAGCTCCTATATCCTTCTTCCCTGGGTGAGGTTTAAGCACACAGAAATGTGATTTGCATTATTTTTAAATAGAAGATTATTCATGTGATGTTGGTTGAGTGTCCACACCACCAGCTCTGATACTCCAGACATGTAAAGCAAAATAGTCCCATCAACTTCCTCTTGCTCATCAAGTGCTTTGCTTACAAAGTAAACGTTTGCTCCTAGTAAAGGAGACCCAAGACTTCAGCTGTTCCCTGAAAGTAGGGTTTTGAGTTTCTTTCATCCAGGACAACTCTGTTGAATATTCATAGAATTTGAGTCACTACAAAACTGTTGCTGTGACAGTTTGATGCATTATTCAATCAGCAACACTTAAATCTCCAGACAAGTTTGTTCTTTACACAGCTTTTTCTAATTAATGTTTCCATTTTTATACAGAACTCAGTACTGTATATAGAGAACTCAGTACTATAATTCAGGCCACAATACACTAGGATCAAATATATATGTCAGAAAATGCTGACAATGTGTCAATCCAGCTGAAACCAGAAAGCACTCATAGCTGGAGATTTTATAAATAAGAGACATCAAGACTTTTGTAATGAAGTGTCCAGCTGTCATTTTCATAAGAAAAATGAAATGAACATTCCAAATCTTTGTGTCACTTTTTCATCTATATTTAGAGGTAGCAGATAGCTCTTTGATACTGCTGAGTAACAGGATTCAAAAGCAAGTTATTAGTCATGACTATTACAGTTGTGATCCTGCACAGGGCTTTGTATTAGATCATTAGATTTTGCACAACGCCTTGTGTTTAGTGCAGCTACTACAGACTTTGGTATCTCCTACCATCTGGCTGTGTATGAAACAGAAATAATACACCTCAAGTCTCACTTGCTCTACTTTCACATGGTAAAGAGGTTTTACTGGCTTCAGCTGAAGTTCTGTCCATTGGTTTGCAAATGCAGTGACCCTTACTGATTCCAGACTAGCAAAGAATCAGAAGACCTCATTTATATAATTCTTTGTATAAAAGATGTGAACAGAACTTCTGTACAATAAAGATGTAAGTTTTGTAATACAAGGCTTTTGCATGCCAGGAGAGGTTCTTTTTCACTTGGTTAAGAGCACTGCCCTCACTTGCTGTGTAAAATTTTAATGTATGTGCTGTGTGTTCCATTATTCTAAAGCCTCGTGCAAAGCTTTGATTAAATAAGGACGTGGCATGTTGTAAACGCTAACCTCTTTCTGAGATCTGAAACAAATGCTATGACTTTCAAAATTCAAAGCAGTGAGCATTGCCTTAATAGCTGTGTCAACCCTGAAGCACAAAGCAGCAGTATGAGTCTTTCAACATTCACGTTTTCCCTTAACAAAGCTCACAAGCAATGACTTGCAAAGTCCCCTTTAGTGTAGCTGATCCAGACCTTTGGCCAGGAGAGACACCCACGCCTGCCCATAGGCCTTCCCTGCTGCATGCTTGGCAGCTGTCACCAGCATTCCTTGGACTGCTTCCCTTTCCCCCTCTCCCTGATACTGGGATTTAAGGCTTCAAATCCCTATGAGCCTTGGCTTTCAGCTTCAGGAAGACAAGGTGGCATCAAGCTAGGAAGAGACAAACCAGTTCTCTCTGCATGGTTTCTCTGTGTCTCCTGTAAGGTTTTGTGAGTTATCCCACTGCAGTCACTGGAGTTTGTTACCTTTTGACCCACAGTGAATTGCACTATGAGCACATAGACAAACAGATCTCCATTGGAGACATGGCTTACAAGCAATGACAGCCTCTCCATCAGTTTTTATGATAAAAATTATTAAATTTTAAGAAACAATTCATGGCAGCACATCTGCATTGACCAGGTGTAAGGCTCTGATATTCTGTTTGACCTCACTCAGACAAACTTGAGTCTTGATGCTGCAATCCATGTACAAGTGCTTTGCATGCTATCTGCAACACCTTTGTTTCCCTCCCCCAGAGAACAGGCACTCCTACTTCCTTTATTCCAATAGTGAGGAACAGCCTGGTTCCCATCTAGGATCTGCAGCCTTTGAACAATCCTGGGAGAAAAAATTACAAACTATTAGTGCATGATGATGAAGGCAAGAGCTACATGATTGTGCTAATGGTTAACTGGACCTTCTGCTTGTTCTCAGCACAGTAAAGACAAGCTTGGGGGCCTGCTGTAACAGGAGTGACTGTGACAACGCTGTCACTAATGTCCACATGAAACTACAGTATATGTGCTACAGGGACCAAATGCTCTCAGAAGTTTGAACTGAATCTTTATGAGTTTAATGTGAACCCCAGAGGGTCTGCAAACAAGTGGCAGTAGTGCAATATCACAACATACATTCTTTCCTGACTGTGATGGATGCCATTCTCCTGCTCACTAAGTTGCTATGCCAACAGATTCACCTCAGGCACTTCCACATTTCAGACTTACTGGAGAGAACAAGCTGTGGCCAATTCTGTGCACAGAATATATAGTCTGAGTTGGTGCCTTTTTAAAATTTGTTGGGTGTTGGAGGTTTTGTTTTTTTAAATGAACTGTGTAATTTTCACTTCTGGCTTCTCAGACATCTCTGGCTAAATACTACAGGTAAGCTGAGCAAATGTAGAAAACACCAGGGTATGAAAATACAACTGCAGTCATCCCTGTTATGTATGGAAACTATATGACTATCCTCCAAAGATTTAAAAAGCATTAAAACAAGCAAACAAAAAAGCATCATGCATCTACTCTATTCAAGTCTGGCAGGATTTTGTGTATCAGAACAAGGTACTAGCCAGATATAAATGCACTGGTCACACAATGAATTAAATTCACCATGTTTACACTGAGCTTTGCTAACCTTAAGGGGGATAGGAGGTAGATGGTTAAGAAAACAAAAGTCCCAAATGCACTACTGGTACAAAGTCCCACCAAAACATATGGAGTA